CAAAGCGCGACGCACACCGGGAGGTGTTGCCCCAGCTGTGGTGGTTGTCAGCTACGCTGGCAACGATGTCTACGGAAACTATGGGTACGTAGGCAATCCATGGGTAGACACCCAAGTCCTTCACAGGAATCCGGCAAAGCAGCAGGCCGCGTACGCGTGGCAGGCTGAGCTGGCCGAGAGTCACACCCAACAGATGCGGCGTCTCGCCGATCTAAGGCAACGCAAGGATGTAGCGGCTCTGATTGTCATCTGCTACTGCGATGGGCAGTCCTATGGCTTGCCGGAGGACTTCACCCGCCAAATGGTCCTTGTTTCCGAGGCCTTCAAGAAGATGGGCGTGATCACTGTGGCCGGCACAACGCTCGTGCGCTCATGTACCAGGTACGACAGCTTCCATTGCCTGAATACAGACGCCAACCGGAATCTGTTTGTCCGATACTACGCTTCTGTTGCCCTGTTCGCCTATTACTACTGGGTTTTGGCCGGTGTGGACATTCTCAGGAGAGACGCGAACCTGTTCGCAAAGCAGAGAGGCAACAAGACACGCAAGGCTTTGATGCGTGAGCGGGTGTGGAACAAGCGGTTCGATGAAGGCTACCTATGCATTGGTGATTGGTATGAACCGTTCCCAGGCGAAATCCGCCAGCACGCCATCACTGGCACTGGCAAAAAGGTCGCGCTGACAGAGTTTGAGGAAATTGCGATCCTTGATGACTGGGGTGAGTGGGAGGACGCCGCCCAGGAAGAGATCGAAGCCGCCCGAAAGCTACCTTTCAATGTGAGGGCGTATCAGCAGCGGGGGACCGCGGGCCAATGGTTAATTCCGACTGCAGCCGACTGGGGTGCACCTTCGGGAGCGCCCAATCCCAAGGAGGATGACAAAATGGAAGTGGATGAGCCGAAGGTCATCAAGATCGATGAAGTCTTTGAACCACCCACTACCACGCCTCCGGGGACGGACGGCCGCGATCAGAACAATCAGGCTCCTGCCTCTGCAGCTGGTATGGAGTTTGTCACTGCGAATGTGCCCGTTCCGGCTGACGGTGACAAAGAGTTCGTGCCGCCAGTGCTCACTGAGGAAGATGAGCTGCTGGTGATGAATGATCCTTTGGATGATGAAGAGCAAATCTTGGAGTTGCTGCAGCCACACATTGCTGCTGCAGAACGTCAAGGACATGAGAATGTCGATCAACCGGATGACGATGAAGACCCCGATGAAGAGATCCTGTTTGACACACCAATCCTCACGCACTTGCCTGACTCAATGCGTGATGAAGGCTTCAAGGTGCAAGGAGTTTTGTATCAGCTACGCCTCAATCCAGAGGAGCCTGACATCGTCCGCATCTACACTGATGAGGATTCGATCCCAGCTCTCGAAGGTGAGGCCCTCCGAAAGTTCAAGCAAGTCACTGACTTTCAGGGGGGAGCTGAATCAGGTGTGAAAGACAAGAAGGGAACCAAGATTCGCACTGCTGAGGTACCACCAGCCAAACGAACTGGTGAAGAACAACCGCAGGAGCCCAAGCCCAAAGCATCCAAGAAGTCCTCAGAAGAGACTGCATCATCATCGTCGGACGTACGCCCGGCGGGAGCCGAGGCCGCTGCTGTTGAGAAACCGGCACCGAAGCCTCAGCCAAAGCCAACTGAACGCCCGGCGGGAGCCGTGGCCGATTCAACCACTCCTGCCACGGAGAAACCTGCAGTCAAGGCGAAGGCGATGCCCAAGGCTCCGCCGAAGGCTCCGCCTATGCCGAAAGGTGCCACATCACCTCTATCAGAGAACCAGGTGGTGGCACTACAGTCCAGGGAAGTGCCCGGAGCCTCCAGACTGGACCACCTCAGCTCCGACCAAGTATGGCTATCGCGCCGAATCTCTGGTCTGCTGCGTGGGTGGGAGCACACGAACAAACGGAACCGTGTCCCACCGCCGGCTTTCCAGAAGGGACTTTGGATGGAGTTCAGCCATGTCTACATGTACATCAAGAAGAAGTACAGACTGTCGCTGACCATCGATGACATGCTGGTTGTCCTTACGAGCAACCATCGTTTCATGATGGAGATCAAGGTGGCGCCAAAGGGGACTTTGGTCGGGGGAAAGAGGCCGTACACGCCAATGCGACTCAAAGCCATTCAGCATCACAACGACTGGTCTTACCAGAACGTGGAAGAAGCGCTGCCAGAGCATGAGCGCTTCATCGTGCTGGATCCGGAGTATGGCGTGGCCGAATACAACAGCGGCAAATTCCCTCGTATGCCAGTCAATGCCCATGGACGTGTCGAGGACATTCAGCCGACGATCGTCTATCACTATACGCACCATGCATCGATCCAGGATATCATCAACATGGGTTTGATCCCAGGTGGCAACCGTACCGGTGACATGTATTCGTTTCTGACAAAAGAGGACCCATGGAGCATCAGCACGACAGACTATGCAGCAATGGCATCTACTCGGCCAGTGTGCATAGCTCTCGATTTGCATATGATGGCAGTACATGGACATCGCCTCGTGGAAACGACGGCCGGCACAATTCTTTGCCCTGACTGGATCTCCTGCCGCTATGTCATGTTTGTGTATGACATGTCGAATGCGTGCTACTTGTATGCCAACCACGTGTATGCCCATTACCGTGCGATCTTTCAAAAGAAGAAGAAGGCATTCTTTGAAGCACGCAGCGGGGGACCGCTTGCCGGAGATGAAGAGTTGATTACGTCAAAGCTGGAATCTTCCACCAAAGACGTTCTCGATGACTATGAAAGATGGTGTGGCAAGGTGACCACATTCCATCCTTTCATCTTCGGTGGTCAGTATCAAGTGCAGGGTGTCAAGGATCAAATGAAGGCTGGTAAGAATCTGCCGGACCTCAATGTGCTCGAGACAATGTATGTCACCCGGCGGCCAAATTTCCGGGCGAATCGCAACAGCATTAGCCCCACGGAGATGCTGCCGAACTACAACCGGCCCAGATTCGACTTCAGAGCCTGTGATCCAACGAAAGAGGGTTATGGCAAGACGCAATGGCTTGTAGTGGAAGGAATTCAAATGCCTGAAGGGCACTGCCCTACTTGTGAAATCCATTTCACTTTCGGCACAATGAGTTGCGGCCAATGCGGTACTTTCTTGAACACCGCATCGGATCTTTGCAAAGCCGCCCAGGTCATTCGAATGGAAGAGATCGCCTCTGAGATGGGCGTCGAACTCTCACTCGATATGGTCCAGGAAGATCGGCTGCAAGGAACCGGCATTCGCAACACGCCTGCGGGGACGCATGGCCATGATCCTAGAGCAAATCGATCAGGCATCAACATCCTGAAAACCAATGCTCGGAGCCATGTGAACAAAGCAGACAAGATGGGCATGACCATTTCGCAGAGACAGTTGACAGATCCTCTGTACGCCTTCAACTGCGCAGCTCAAGATCTTTCACCGCTCTGCATCAGCTTCTTGGAGAAATTAGCAAATGCGGTCATTCCTGACCCTCCAAGAACACATCAGATGATCATGCAGGGGGTCGGCCATCGCTATGCTGGAAAGCTGATCTACATCAACGATCCTGAGAAGGTGGGAGAGGCAGACATGAGCAAAGATTTTCTGGTGTATTGGAAAAACAGACTCTACCGACCTGAGATCTTTGCAGCAAGCTATGCCCAGAACACAAAGCGTCCACCGATATTGGGATTCCACTCTGAGTGGAAGACTGATGAGAAGGATCCAGATGAGCTTCTTCAGCTCCTGCTCGACTTTATCGCTGAGGACATAGCCTTCATTCCGAATGTCGACTTGCAACTTGGCAAAGAGACCAGGACCATGATAGTTCCTCGAGCGAAAGCAGACTCCGCATCAGCCAAAGCCCTTGCGAGGGCTGCACAGGATCAAGCACGTGCTCACGAAGATTGGCACCAGACTCAATGGTCATCCGCGTCTTCATCGTGGAATCGCGACCGGGACTGGAGCCAAGGGTGGTGGCAAGATCGCTCAAGCCAATGGCAGCGTGATGATCGCTGGAACCGTGATTGGTGGAGCTCTCGCAACTGGTAGAAACATCCGCACGACGGGAGTCGTTGCCTTTGGATTCAAAATCGAAAACCAAACAAAAAGGAAACATCCAATAGGCTGCATGGCTCTCAAATGTGAGGTTGTTCTTCCTCCATCGCACCGCGGGAGCGGTTGCCGTCGATGATCGCTTCTGTGATGCACCGGGGGACCGGATGCCGAACTTCGCTTTTGCACCAGCATGGTATAATTCGTATGTTGAAGGTCGAAGTACCTGTGACATTGCAAGTCCAAGAGACGCACATTTTTTGTAGTGCTGATTCGCCACGCGGGAGCGTGTGCCGACCGGTGATGCTTCTGCTTTCTCAAAGGCCAATCGTGCACTTACCGCTTGATGCGTCAAAAGATCGTGCTGTTTCTTCATGAGATGACTCAATACATGTATAGCTTTGCAGTACGAGTGAACACTAGCATGAACTTGACAGTGACTTTCGTGCCCTTTGAGGTCAACTATCCTCTCCATCTCAAAGGCAGGAACCGGTTTCGTCCGAATCGCACGTACCGGGGGACCGGCTACCTTCGTAGGTCCCAATTCACTGTACATAGTCTTCACTCCTCCCCATTTTCGTTCAGCGGGGGGTGTAGTTTCACGCTAGCATATTGACATTTACGTCTCACTCGTACGACTTTGGCTCAAGGAAAACAAGGTGCGACTAGGTGGCGCTTCTAGGTCGTTTTCCTGTAACTACATTTGTTAATCTATTTTTTTGATAACTTGTTTGCCTCTGCCTGCCTCTGCCCTTGTTTTAGGCGGCTTCTTCCAGTGGTATGGCATGGGAGAGTCATTGCTGGAATGAAATGAAAGAGCAACAACGTTATGAATGACCTTCATGGGAATCAAGATGCTTTCGGCGCCACGACCTTCAGGCTGTTAAGTTTCATGTGAGTCCTTTATGTCTCACTTATCTCTCCCACCCACTGCTGCTAATCGGCGAAGCCATCCTCAATGAAGCCATCGCAGGACGCATGTGCCGCGGCCGCGCGAAGCATCACGGAAGCAGAAGTGTTCATTTTCCGCCTCCCGGATCAATGGCTGACTGCTTGGGCGGTTGTTGGGCTTGGGCTTGACAGCCTGTAATATAAGCTTATGGAAGCTGATGGAAGCATACGGTGAACCAACGTATTCACACCAGATGAAGTGCATTTTTTTTGTGTCTTCAAAGAGTCTGGTCTGCTTGGAATGGCTCCACCTCAAACATGGGAAGCAAACCACCCACACGATTCAATACCGTCATGCAGCCACTTCATCATGACCCTCTCAATGATCCCCTCAATCCTCCTATAGACCATATAAGATGATCCTTTTGACTTCACATGTCTCTATAGGTGCTTGAAACGACTGCGCTCAGAACAGCCCTCTTCGCCCCGAGTCAATGGCGCCGGGTGGTCCGCCGACAGCGGCCTGGCGGTCTATGCGGACGTGGCCAAGGCAGCGTTTGGATGGTGATGGGTCTTAGGTCTGTCCAAAACCTGTAACAGTTGGTAAAGGGTCTTAATTTGCGTTAATTATCCCTACAGAAAGGTCTGCAACTGAACCATCACCCGGGACGAGGATATACCATGATATACCCAAAGGATGGGTTATCATGGTCATCCTAGCTCGTGGAATTCATGACTATTGCAGGGAGTGTATGGGTTTCAACATGGTATTCGAGTGAGGAATAGGATGGTTCTCTCTTCTATTCACTTGGCGTAAATTCCAGCATGTTCTTTGAGGTGTTCAAATCATCTTCCATCAACACTCACCCCATGGTCTACCGGTAAGATTCCTGGCATTCTCGTCGTCACTGCGAGGAATCTTTTCAAACCAGATAGAAACTTCTTGAGGGCACAGCAACAACACAACTTGTACAGCCTTACGCAGTCACGTCTTGGACTTACACCACAACAGAAGACTAGTCTGACATAGCTTAGCTTCTTACATCTTACCCAGTCACTTCTTTCATGAATGCCTTGGAACGTTTTTTGCCAAAGCAACGTCTGACGTCTCAGCCGTCGTCTTGGCCGTCAGGTGCCGGTCTACTCGAAACGGGGGCTCACGTACCAGGACGGGAGAAACCACCATTTAGACTAACGGTGATGGGTTGAGGGGAAGGCAGGAAGGCACATGGGAGCGTTTTGATTGTGGACGCAAGAAGGGCCCAACGAAACATGGGGATCAAGGCTCAAGGTTTTGTGTTTTTCTTGTCAATGCTATATTCCATGTTGCTCGAAATGTTTATTTGCTTGGGGCCCCAAGCAGTTCCGGTGGATGATCGCTGACATGTCAATTGGCTTTTATCGCCACAACCATACAAGTGTTCCCTGCAATGCCTACAGCATCCTACAGCCATAGCAACGTGCTAAGAACAATTTGACTAGTTGTTCAGAATCATGGACCTGCGCCACCTCAGTCAGGTTGCGGATGAAAGATCGATTGCAAATGCCTTCAATGGTAGTAAGATGTCGTATATAAGGATGTCATTGCTGTTTCTATCTTAAACAACAGGCACCTCGGGGAAAACATGTCACCTCCTCCTGAAGTCGTCGTGGAGCTGCGTCACCTCCTCACCTTGGCTTTGCTCTTCCTTTGCACACCACAGTCGCATCATGTCCGACTCAGGACATTTGTCAGCCACATTGGCTCTTCAAAGAGCCGCAGCTCTTCTGGGGATTCTGGGGACAATGTTGCTCAGCAGCCGTGAGCATTGCGAGCGACGGGTCGTGACCAGCGAAGTTGGCTGGGTGGAGACTCATAGGCTATGGTTTGCATATCATGTTTGTATGTTTTTGTGTGAGAGATCAACAGGATGGGCTTTGGTTTCTTTGGTTTCTGGTGGGTTGTTCAACAAAGCTGGAATTGAATATGCACTGGATTAAAGCTTAGGGTCTGTCCGTCATATGATAATTGTTCAAACAGCAACGGTACTATCATTGCCATGGTTTACACAGGAATGGACACTAGATTTGACACACGCACATACACACACAGAGACACGGTGGGTCCAACCCTTCCTGGCATCCAAACAAATTGGACCCTCTTTTTCACGCCCGGCACGAATGGTCCACGCGGCGCGGTTATTCGTCACGCCTCCACCCGACCTCGTCGCGCCCTGAGGTTACAACGACTACCGCCTCACGGATCCGCACGAAGGCTATGAGATGGTGCACCACTGGGTGACTGGGCGGTGCAGAGAGGGAGAGTGTTTGATCCACAGCGGTCGGAGGTGAGCCGCTCGGCCGGACCCGGCGGTCGCCCGGACGAGGTGGGGAAGCTCTTCCGACACACGAAGGTCGCCAAGGAGCTCCAGCAGCGGTGCCGGGAGAAAGCTCGGGACCAGGACGATCCGCGGAAGGGGCGGGGGGCTCCGCAGCGGGGGGTTCGATGACCGGAGCTTGCCAGATTTATAGTCGGATGATGTCGGATGTATCTGGTATGCCTCATGGTTGCAAGCACCTGAGTTGGTGAATGCAGAAATGCACAGGATTTTTGTTGGATGTCGTGTCCGATTCTTTTCCATTAAGGTGTTCAAAGGACTCCCGATGGCGATCTCAGAAACGAAGGACGGTGGAAGACGGTGGTCATTTGGCATATTTCCTGAGTTGACCACCAAAAATGAACAGAATGAACTATTAAGGAGGTCGACCTACCCTGGTTGGGGGATATGGGTTTTGACTCACAGCCATTTTTTTGCCTTTCACGGAGAGACCGGGCTTAAGACAAAGGCATTACTGCCAGTAACTCGCTACTAGTAGCAAGGACGCTATACTAGTAGCGATGCACCTTGTGGCTAGTAGCAAGAAGCTACTAGTAGTAATGGCCTCCACCCTACTAGCGATGGCCTCCAACCTAATAGCGATGGCCTCCTACCTACTGGCGATGGCCTCCACCCGGGCTACTACCCATGGCCTCCACCGTACTAGCGATCGCCTCCAACCTATCCCTACTAGCGATGGCCTCCAACCTAGTGCGTTTGTTTGTCTCGGTGGGGCAGGACACACGGATGAACACACCCACGATGTCAATAGCGCAGTCTCCTTCAGGCTACATATCCGACATCGCCAATGCCTAGCTCCGAATCCACACGGACAATCATACACACGAGGTCCTAAAAGGAAGCTACTAGTAGCAGGTGCATCGCTAGTAGTAACAAGTGCCTTACTAGTAGTAACAATCAAAAGGTCTTTAAAAGATCTCAAAAACACAGCATTCTGGGGCGAAAGTGTGGCCTCCCCAAGCTATATGCTAACAGTTGATCTTCCAGTCTATGCGAAACAACGCCGTGCGGGCGGACTTTGCCGTTTTCACTTCGGCTTCGAGACGTAGGACGAAGTCGGTGGCACGGCTGCAGCATCTGGGGGGGCATCGGGGATCAGAGGGCAACGAACCACATGAGGACTTCAAAACATATTATGACTGGTGGACTAATGTTTAGATGACCGGTTTCAGGATGATTGTTCCTTTTAATGGTTGTAGTTGATGTTTTCTGTTGGTGTAGTTACCGGGTTCTTGACCTGGAAGAGTGTTTTGTTACCTCCTCATTCGGTCACTTGAGAGTGAACAAGCTTGGTCGGTTGGTCCCTTGTGTGGGACTTCTTGAAGTCCAACGACGTAACGATTTGGTAGAGAATTTGACTTGAGAAACCGCAAGCTAGACCTCTGACCATTTTGACTGAACTCTTCTGGGATCACCAAGATCCAGATGCCTACTGAGAAAGCAAGAGAAAACACCCTTGTTACTAGTATTGGCCTCCAACCTACTTGGCCTCTCCAGTTTCTGACGATAAAGGTGGATCCCTGGAGACAAGTGAAGCAGCAAAAAGGGAGACAAACAGTGCGTTCTTTTTCGAGGTCCCTACGAAGTGAAAGGACGTGCAGGTGGGTACATGGCAGAACTGTGGAAAGAGCTATGAAGAATAGACTAGTTTCATAAGAACAGTCCTGAATAGACTCTCTAGAGATTCCGGAACAATAGACTCTAGGATTTTGTTCCGCATTTTTTTGTTGGTTGGTCTTGTGGATGAAACGGCTGCATGACACCAATATTGAGCCTTTCGAGGTGTTCTCGAGGTGCTGGACATTGGCTGTATGTTGTTTGGGACTTCCAAAACTAAACCGTCGTGGGAAAAACTCCAAACTTTGCAGACGTCTAGCTCAATCTAATATCAACGTGCAGTTGATGATTGGACAGTTGTATGTATGAATTTTTAGTCATTTTCCACCAATTCCTGGAGTGTTTTACGCATGAATTAGACAAGACAAGTCCGAGAACCAGTTTTGTCCGCAGGTGCCTTTCACGTCTTCACGTCCAATGTGGATGCGCACCACTATGATTGGCGCCTGAGCTGCAGGGCCGAACCTGTAAAGTCGCGACCGGCGTCACGGAGTGTCGGGTTACCCCAACCCAAACGCGGTGGAAACCCAGTGTAGCTCCAAAAAGCCTGTTTTGCAAACTGAAGAAACAAAAAAACTAATCGTTGCTACTAGCAACCAAGGGCATCGCTACTGGGAGCAGAAGCTACTAGGCCATTGCTATTAATTAGGTTGGAGGCCATCGCTACTAGTAACAAGAAGCTACTAGTACAAGTGACGAAAAGCTCAAACGACTCAAATATCAACGGCTGCCATCACGATGAGGTTCCCCGCCTGTGAGATCCGCGAGTGCCATGGCAATACTGAGATTTACCAATGCGCTGGCTCGAGGATGCGGAAGGGATTCTGCATCCTCAGGGTCAGTCAGTGATCATCAGTGATGGGTATGGTATTGCGCTCTCTCTGTGGTTTTCATGGAGTGAATGGCTTGAGATTGACTTTTCTCGGAGGGTGCCTGTTCTTTGTAAATGTATAATTAAAAGACAGTTTAGTAGCTAGAAGCTACTAGGTTGAAGGCCATCGCGTTTGTCGGTTGGAGGCCATCGCTAATTACTAGGGTCGAGGCCATCGCTACTAGTAGCTAGAAGCCCTTGTTCAAGCATGATGTGACCTTTCCAGCTCTTCTCCCCATCGTCCTTGAACCGTTGACAGGAGTATGGGGGGGCTTGCGCGACATGGACGAACGATGCGCTTCGGGTTGCAGTCAAGTCGCCCACTCGTCTCGGCATCGTTGGATTAAGTGCATGAGGATTGTGCGGTGAACTGGTCATGGGAAACTAATAGCAATGGCCTTAACTAATAGCGTCCTTGCTCCTAGTAGTAGGGCCAGGAGCCCCTAGTAGCGTCCTTGCTCCTAGTAGCGATGCCCTTTGCTCCTAGTAGCTATTTGCTCGTTGGATTAGGTGGGATTCAATAGGTCCGTTTCAATTTTTTAGTCTAAGCGGGGCGGTTCGCGAATGCGCCAACCATTGGCCACGGCCGCAGCGTTCGTTCAGGTCCGGGCATTTGGCGCGCTCCCTTGGAGTACCGCGGCATGGTTTTCTCGCGCTGAGGAAATGCGCATGGGAACCGTTGGGACCCATCCCGGCAACTACTAACAAGTGCCTCGCTAGTAGTAACAAGTGCCTTACTACTAGTAACAAAAAGCTATTAGAATTAAATAGTTTCTAATAGCTTCTTGTTACTACTAGTAAGGCACTTGTTACTAGTAGCGATGCACTTGTTACTAGTAGCTTCTTGTTGCTAATATGTAACCCAGACACGACTAATGGGACTGCCATATATGCCTACATTGGGGTGGTTTTGGCGGTCAATGTAGGCATATATGGCAGTCCCATTAGGCGGTCAATGTAGGCATATATGGCAGTCCCATTAGTCGTGTCTGGGAAACAAAAAACAATAACACCTGGAATACCTGGGATTTTGCAGTGACCCGGCCACTAATTGTTCCTTCTAATATAACTAGACATGTACGATAATAGTCTTTGTCCCACGGTCCGGTGCTGTCCAGGGATGGTCTTTGTTTGATTCATTCTTATTCACCGGCCCTGCTGACCCTTCCCCATCCAGAGGCCCTGAATTTCTGAATCAATAGATTGCTTGAAGGGAAAATCTTCTGGAAACCCTGCTTTTCACTCCCAAAACTATGAGGCTTCCTGTAGATGTTCCCAATTCTGCAAGTTCCGTGTAGCTTTGGATCATGTAGCTCCCAACTCTCCCAGTAAAATTTATCTTGCAAGTTCGTGAACCATTTCTTCACCCGAAACAGCATTCCCTGAGGTATCGTTTCCATGTGGACAAAGAGACCATGCTTGCTCCAAAGGCTCGAACCCGTCGAGACCAAAACGAGAGGGTGGAGACGCCAGAGAGCTTCTCGTTGCCCGAAAACATGGGTCGCTGAAGGTCTCTGAAGGGTGTTCACCATGGGTCACCATGGGTCTTTGCTGATTCTCTTGATGTGAGAGTTTGTGGAGCTCTGGCAAAGGCCAAGGCAGGCATTCGCCACTCCACGAACCACTTGACTGTGCACATTGATTTGTTATTTAATTAATTGTTTGATCATTGAGATTGATGGTTGTTGAGTTGAGTTGACAGTTAACTCTGGACCTCTTCAGCTTTGGAGGCAGGTTGCCAAACTGCAAAGTAGTCAGTCAAGAAAGATCTGACACAAAGCACAATGTCAACCAACACCAGTGCCATTCTCCTCCAGAAAGTCAAACCGGATTGAAGTCCAACCATGAAGACAGAGGGTTGCCAGAACATGTACAAATGGGCTTTGCAACCAAATCATGCCCCAAAGGTTAAGTTCATTCATGGAGCAAGGACGCTACTAGGGGCTCCTGGCCTTACTACTAGGAGCAAGGACGCTACTAGGTTTCATTAAGTTCATTCATGGAGCAACACTTCAGTTCGCCATTTGGGAGCTTTCTGGCAATCATGTTTCTTCACCGTTGAGCTTCCTGTTGCTCAAGTGGAGATTCAAATCGCACGCCAAAGCTTCAGACACTTTTGAACTCATCATCCTCGTCACCAAGAAACCCTTCACTTGAACATCAGCTCAAGTATTGACTTGCAGGCCATCGGCCATCGCTATTAGGTTGATTGATTCAACGGCGGACTCGGACCAGCAAAGAATCCAAGCTTACGAGCCAGCACACAGGCCAATCAATGCTTGCTTGAGGAGTGACCATCATCAAGTCAGTCAACAGTGAAGTATGTCAGGATGCCCAAGCTGATTGTGAAAAACTTCAACTGAACAAATGGGCCCTCTCAAACGAAAATAGGTGAGACAAGTAGCTAGACCAGTGGTCTACTAGACCAGCTCAAATGAATAGTTACATGGTTGTTTGTGAAGTCAGCCAAACTTCAGAGTGAATTAAAGTATATTAAATCTATAGAGTTGACAGTCAAGTAGTGAATTAATGTATAACAGCTAGCTAGCTGTGTCAACAGTTAAGTTAAGTAATGTTAAATCATACTGGATAGCCAGTAGACGAGTCCTTGCACTAGAAGCTAACTAGTAGCTAGTAGCTTACTCTGTTGATTAACTAGGCGCCTACTTAATTAAGGTTGGAGGCCATCGCCATGAGGTTGGAGGCGAGGAGGGAGCGGGCTAACGCCCCCCATCACCCCCTCCACGCCAGGAAGCGCCCGAGGAGGCCTTCGAAGTTGAGACGAACCATTGGGCGCCACCCCAAGGTGTGGAGACCACGCGCACTACATGGGGACCCTGTTGGATCCGGGGAAAAGCGTTGAAGAAGACGAAACCGAAACCTACTAGCGATGGCTTCCAACATCTTTGTTTTTCTTTGCAGGAACTTCTCTGGGTTTTCTGGCTTCAGATTATTTTTATTTTTAAGATGTTGGAACCCTGTTGCAAGGCATTTTTTTTTTCCCTAGTCACCCCGTTTGATGGCTCCAGCCCCTACGTTTCTGCCAGGGGATGAGGACCCCATGTCGACCGTGCCCCGTGTGGGTCGAGTCACAGGATCTGTGGCTTGGCGATCGGATCGGCGGCCTTGGGAATTTGTGGGTCAAGTCCTAGACTAGTAGTAAGGCCAGGAGCTACTAGTAGCGTCCTTGCTCCTAGTAGCGATGCCCTTTGTTACTAGGAGCTTCTTAATGTCCAATACTAGCGATGGCCTCCAACCTACGAGCGATGGCCTCCAACCTAGCTTTCACTCCAATTCACAAAGCTGAACTGGGAAAGGGACGATTCAACGATCACCTTTGAATCAGAATGCAGAAAAAAAACATGGGAATTCCGAGTGACCTGAATGGGGAAGGAGAGAGCTGGGACACGCATCAACATCGACTCGACTGGTTTTCCTGATATGTTGGAAGGCAACAAGCGTCCTGCGTCCAATATGGTGCGGAGTGTTTCAACAACGACATGAATGAATGGTGTGCTGTGTTGAAGCCACAAAGCAAAATCTCTCAAGTCCCAAAGCCAATCTCAGCTTGTATTTGCACTCTTCCCATGTCACTCATCTCATCAACTCCAGATTATCAGATTATTACTTACTGTACGTATTTGTAAGTTATGAATTTCTGTAACCCTCCCCTTTCTCAGGCTTCTTCTTCCTTATGTTCCCTTCCTTGAGTCTACGGAAAACAACAACAACAACAACAACAACAACAACACCAGCAACAACAACAACAACAACAACAACCACAAACACAAACACAAACACAAACACAAACACTACCCCTCGTTCCCCCTCCGTTTCTGTCGTCCTCACCGGAAGTCCCCTCGCCCGTGACTGACCCGAGGCGCGGCGCCACACGCTGCGCTTCATGCGAAGCGGCGCGGTGGTGGCCGAGAGCCCCGCGAGCGCCGCCAAGCGCGGCTTCGCCGCCAACCACCCGGTGCGGCCTGCGGCAAGTCATTGTCATTGTCTTGTTGGACAATTCCCAACTGATTCGCTGTTCTTGGCATGCAGTCCTTGCCGGCCATGGTCATATGTGTGGATGCCCAGCAGGTTTGCCCAGAATGTGGTGGCCCTGCACGACCGGCTATCTTGATGTTTGGCACCTTGGTCTCATTTGTTGGCACCGCTCAGCGAGTTCCACCTCCGTCGAGCTGGCGAAATCGAACTTGCAGGGCCCCAAACCGACCAGTTCAGCTTGGATGACATTCGACCAGTTCACTTCACCGTCCAAAGGATTCGACCCGACCGAAACTGGGCGAACCGAAAACAACCGACCGAACCGACTTGGACGAAGCAGTTCGCGTGCCTCCCGAGATGCGAAGCTCCCGCGACCGGCGCGAGCGATTCCCGAGGTGATTATTCTTGGCGAGACAATGATGCTCAGGAGGACAGGATGCTCAGGAGGATGAGGGACACGGGTTGGGTGATTTGCTCCGTGTTTCACGGGAGACCAATTTGCAGTCAAGGTCATACATCAGTGGCGCCTTTGGTAGGGAAGTGCTACCAGAATAGCCAAATGGACCAACATATGTGTGTTAGCCCGTGGACACATCATGTTGCCGATGTTGCTGAGTGTCCCGATCGATTGCGTACGTGGTGCAAGTACTTGCACGTCGGATTGTTTGGGCAGAAAGGGCCCTAATTTTGGTCCCTGTTGTTTCTCAGTACAGGAATCAACTATGTCCTTCAACTCCGTCGCGAGAAACTTGTATCCAAAGAACATCTTCATTCCTTCACTCAGCTAACCTGGTTACTTGAGCTTCATCATCTCACAGACACACCTGACTCTCGGCTTGGCGACGACCTGCCACCTCCTCCGCACCGGAGCGTACAACGCGGCGCATCAGGACCGCTGGGAGACCTGGCTGGATCAGGTCAACGACTTGGCCACGGAGCGTGCCTCGGCGCTAGGACAAGACGCCGTTGATTTCTTGCACGCCTTCACCCCCCCCCTCACCCTCCCTTCTGCTTCTTAAAGGCTAGAAGATGAAGAGATAAACCTCCCGATTCGGAAAAACATTGTCTCGCTTCAGGGCGAAACTGATTCTTGGAGTGACTTTCGCATTCTCAGATTTCCCCAGGCCTCGAGGGGTTGTTAGAGGTTCGACGTCGCAAGCGGTCAATGTGAGGGACCGCTGACTTCAACCCACTGCGTGTGGCTTTGCTGGAGGCTGGGCTGGGCTGTCTTCGGGCCAGTCGTAAGCCTTGGAAACCTCCTCTCCCGAGCGGCTGGCTGTTGAGATTGTGTGGTCGGATTCCGTGGCTTTTTGTCTTCTATTTTGGCAATTTCACGCAGCTTGCTATTTGAGAGCAAAACTGGATTGGTGTGATCGCTGTGATCCCTTCATCCATTCTCCCAAAACATCATTTTGTTGTGGCCAGTTGTGTTTTCGAGTGAACCCTGAACTCTATGACAAGACGTATTTTTGGCTCTTTTCCTGGCCGGTCTTTGCTCCAGAATTGGATTCGGAGGAAGACCAGGTAGTAGACCAGTTCCAATTTTACTTGACCTGGATCAACGGTAAACGGTTTACTAGTCTTAAACGACCAGAGGTCCAATCGGTTAAGCATTTGTCATTGTGGGGTGGGAGGGTGAACAACAAGTTGTACAACAAGCAAGTAGAAAATGCTGTGGTTGCCCAGGCTAGAGATCCCTTTAGAGATCCCTTTTGTTCTCCAGGGAGGTTTGTGTTTCAGGCCAAGAACGCAAAAGGAGGAGGCGGACTGGCCCAGGTTTCTTCATGTTGGTTCTTTCTAGCCCATTACCAGTAACAGTCAGTAAAATATGTTTATTTGTATTTTTGAGACAAGCCTTTACAACATTCATCCACTGTTACTGGTAGGGGGATATACGCAAGTTCTTGCTCTTAGTTGCACGCCTGAAACGACCTACGTCGAACAGAGGTGTTTGATTTTGGGGCGAGTTTTGAGCTTCAAATCCAGTATGGAGATCAGAGCCGTGTCTGGCGCAACAGTTGCTAGACTTGAGGATGCATTGTGTGGCATGGTGGAAGCTGGCTCTTCTGTTGGAGAGCTGAAACAATTTCTTGCAGCTCGTGTTGGATGCTCAAGGTTTCGGCAGAGACTCTTGAGCGATGCGGGACGACGAAAAACATTACATGAGTTATGTGTTCCAGGAACGGTGCAGGAACGGTTCCAGTCAACTGCGAACTGTGGGTGCGTACAAGCACCTTGGTACCTGGCTCCAGGGTGGAGCGGGAATTGCCAAAGACTTGGCCATGAAGTTCGCGGTTGCACATGATCTTGTGACAAAATACCGGGCTACCATTTTTGCTAACAGAAAGATGCCACTTGAAAAGAAGAGGCAACTTTTTGAAATGATGATCATGAGTACGATCATCTTCAATGCTGCGGTTTGGTGTCCCCGTAATAAGAGGCAAGCTGCACAGACCGAAGCGGCCTTCATGAGGTTGTACAAGCGTGTCACTGCATTACATTTCGGACAGCAAGCAGTCCAATGGTCTCAGACTAGGATCCTGAATGCTTTTGGCCTGCCTGATCCGGCGTTCACCATCCGAAGATCACGACTTAGATATCTTCTGCAACTAGCACAAGTTGGCCAGCCGCACACATGGGCTCTTCTGCAGACTGATGCTCTATGGAAGCAGCAAGTCAACGAAGATTTATCCTGCCTGAATGACTATTGTCCTGAAGATGAAGTGCCTTTTCCTATTGAGGAATACTGGAACCAGCTGATCGCCTTCATGTTGGAGTCGCCGGGTCGCTGGAAGAAGATCCTCAAAAAAATGATACATCGGCACATTTCAATCCGGCAGATCGATTGTGAATGGAATGCATGGCATTCTGCTGTTATGCAGGACGTTCTCGAATCAGGTTTTGGTCATCGACCACAACGGGTTGTTGAAGCACAGCAGCACTACTGCCTGGCATGTCGCCAAACTTTTGTACGAAGAAGTGCATTGACAGTCCACGCTTTTAAAAAGCACGGGAGAGTCAACCAAGTTCGCGATTTTGTCCAGGGCACTCAGTGCGAGAGATGCTTACGAGTTTATGACAGGTACACTGACCTTGTCAATCATGTCAAACGCTCCACAGCTTGCTTTGATTTTTACAAAGGAAGAAGATGGCATGTGGCCAGGCAACCAGGAGTCAACAGCCGACAGGAGAATCGGAACCGTAGGGACCTCCGAGCACCTGTGCTGCAAGCTGAAGGTCCTCAATGTGCACCGCCACCTCCTTTTGAGGAAGAAGCACAAATTGAGCAGTTAGAGCTCTGGCAAGCATGGGATACAGCGTCCTCCGAGCTGAGTGATCCTGACCAATGGCTAGATAGATTAAGGACTGCCACCCTGACTACATGGCTATACCACGAAGAAATCTTGCAATGTTTTTCTGCTTGGTGGGAGCGATGGTGCCATGACAATCAAACATGCCGATTATCTGACCTGGTTATCCATGGACGGTTTACAAGCCTCGCTTCTGCTGCTTGGTTTCTTCATGGTGATCTCAAGGAAAGATATATTCAAGAAGACCCTCTTCAGTTTTTTGAGCGTGAGGCTTGGATCTTTAACGATGTGCTCTGGAGTCCTCCTAAAGCGATCAAGTACTTTCCACGAGTCGTTGCCCATCTCTTTTCTGGTGAACGCAGAAAAGGGGATGTCCAGGCCTTTCTTGAAGCTGCTGGATTTGAAGCCCTTTCAATTGATGTTGTGTTCGACCTTGAATGGGGGAATCTCCTCCGACCTGAAACACTAGCACTCTTCCAGAGGTCGCTCAGAGAACGGACGCTCCTTGGTTTTATCGCAGGTCCTCCATGCGAAACTTGGAGCAGGGCCAGGGCGGTGGTGTTAGCAGGTAGGTCAAACGGACCTAGGGTAGTTAGATCTAGATACAGACTTCAAGGGATTAAGAGTTTGAACCGCAAAGAGGCTCAGCAAGTATCAATTGGCAACCAGCTCCTCGGTGTCACGCTGGTGCTGGTCTGGTCTGCCATTGTTCACGGGGCCACGGCTGTGGTCGAGCATCCGGCGCAGCCGGAAGAGGAGACACTGCCATCGATTTGGCATCTACCCGTGATTGCTTTTTTTTCTCCGATTCCAATGCTGTAAGAAAATCCGAATCGAGCAAGGGAGATTTGGAGGACTTTCCCCCAAGCCAACGGACCTTCTTGTTGTGCATGGCATCGATGACGTAGCTGGCTTCTTTGTACAACATAGAACGACACCTCTCCCTCAGACTTCCAGAATTGGGAAGGATGAGGACGGTAGCTGGCGCACCAGTGTTTTGAAGCGCTATCCACCGGACCTATGCAAGGCCCTGGCGCTTCTTTTCAACCTCAGCCAACCTGAGGAAGAGGTTTCAGAAGAAATCCCGAGCTGGTTTGCTGCGGCAGTCGACAAGCTGAAAGCGCATTTCAGCGAGGAGGCCGTACAGGGGCCCGACTACTGTCCGCGCGCCGCTCGTGGTGACACTTTTAATTAATGCATGCAATGTCACAAGCACCGCTTACGGCAATGCGAAATGGAAAAAATGGAAAATTTTGAGACAAGCCTTTACAACATTCATCCACTGTTACTGGTAGGGGGATATACGCAAGTTCTTGCTCTTAGTTGCACGCCTGAAACGACCTACGTCGAACAGAGGTGTTTGATTTTGGGGCGAGTTTTGAGCTTCAAATCCAGTATGGAGATCAGAGCCGTGTCTGGCGCAACAGTTGCTAGACTTGAGGATGCATTGTGTGGCATGGTGGAAGCTGGCTCTTCTGTTGGAGAGCTGAAACAATTTCTTGCAGCTCGTGTTGGATGCTCAAGGTTTCGGCAGAGACTCTTGAGCGATGCGGGACGACGAAAAACATTACATGAGTTATGTGTTCCAGGAACGGTGCATTTGGTACTGTTAAGTTATTGTCCTGCTGACGAGAGCCTTGCTCGGAAGCTGCTGAGCACCTGTGAGCAGAACCAGCTAGACAAATTATTGAAAGTGCTTCAAAGACCTATTAACCCTAATTTGAGAGATGCAACTCAGACAACAGCGTTGCACATTGCCGCCAATCGCGGTTGCCTGGAATGTTTGCGATTGTTGCTGGAGGCAGGGGCTGACACAGAGGCAGTAAACGCACTTGGCGTAACTGCATTGTACATGGCAGCCCAAGGAGGCCACTTGGAAGTTGTGCGCTAGTTGCTCGACGCTGGAGCTGACAATGGAAAAAACGGCATTGCACATTGCAGCGCAACTAGGCAACCTGGAATTTGCGCGACTTTTGCTTGAGACTGGAGCTGACAAAGATGCCGAGAATGGAGTCAGGGCAATGCCTTTGTCCATTGCAGCTGACAAAGGCTATCTGGAAGTCGTGCAATTGTTACAGGAGCAGGGTGCGAAGTACATAGTATGGCAGTCCATGATGGTAGCAAGGTGGAAGATATGTGTTTGTTGCGTAAGTCGCGTGCAAATCGTAGATGCTGCGGCTTGGGAGTGCTCACGATGGTTGCTTTGCAGCTTGACTGAGACTGGTCACTTTCGAGACTAGACTATAGAGTCTTGACTAGAGCTGCTGGAAGACAAATCGTTCAATGCCACTGTGCAGCTGCGGCTGTGAAAAGACGACTGGAGACTGTTTATGTGTTTTGTTTCAGGGCTCCAAGTTGATACAGGGCCATCCCGCAGCACATGACAGCATCATTGTTCTGCCAGGTGGGCGCAGGCAACAATGTGCCTTAGTTGCAATTGATCAGCTTCCGAGTTCGCTCATCAAACATGTTTGTTTATAGTTTTTTGTTCCTGTTTCCTTACCTGGGCATAGGGACATTTCCGTGTTTTGTGGTCCAGCTCCATTTTGATGGTTTTGATGCACTAGCCATTGGCTAAGTATAACCAGAATGGTCATTTTGCTGGACAGCCAGACCTTAAATGGGCTTTATATATAGCTCATGTCAGATTTGTCTTGCCAACTTCCTGCAAGCGACAGTGGCTCCAAGGCTTTACCTCTCATTTCCACAGAAGTACATCCTCCATTTCTTGCAAACCGACACGGAGTCCCTAGAAACTAACGAAGCCAGTTCTGATACTAGATACATATATATATACATATGTAAATTACCTCTCACTTTATATTGAGAGGTGTTCAGTTTACTACTGGTATTACATAATACTAAGTTGAAGGGCTGTTGAAAGTTAAGTTCCCCTAGAAATCTAGCAGCCAAATCATTAATGTGACCTGCGTCCAGTATGTAGTAGCTTACTTGTAGCTAGTAGCATGTTTAGTCCCTTAATTAAGTAGGCGCCTATTTAACTAAGTAGGGAGCAGGGGGGGAGCGGGCGAGTCAAGTATGTCGGATTCGACCTCTGTTCCGAGGTCACCACCGTCCGCAGCCGCAGCGAGCACATTTTGAGGGACCGAGATGACACGACCCAAAGGGCAGTGGGCCAGCGTTGTATTGTTTGTTCATCGCTATTAGTTTCGAGGCCATCGCTAGTAGGGTGGAGGCCATCGCAATTAGGCAGGTTGGAGGCCATCGCAATAAGGCAGGTTGGAGGCCATCGCTAGTAGGTTGGAGGCCATGTTGTTATTTCTATTTTTTTTAGGCTTTTGGCACTCACCCATGGCCGCTCGAAGTGTAAAAAAGGTTGTTTTGTGTCACTGAGATTGTATTCACATGCAATTGGATAGCAACGAACATAGCAGATGTAGGAGATAGATGTGATATAGCATGCAGATAGCTCAGAGATATAACAGAGATAGCATCCTGATCGCAGGCCTGTTGTCCAAGCCCTAGATTTAATATTTAGCAACCCAGAAAAATCAAGCGACGGACACCGGATCAGTATAGCATCGAACCGATCGTATTTGATGCAGTGGATCGAATCTGCTGGTCATCGAATCATCAGATCGCTCGAGCACCAGATCCGTATGATCAGCGGATCAATCGGATCGGCATCGGATCTGCATCGGATCAGCGGGATGATCGGATCAGCGGATCATTGGAGCATCGGGTCGATCGGAATGTCCGACCAACGGATCACCAGCGTTGCATCGGACAGCGGATCATCGGATTTTCGAATCAGTTGGTCTTCAGACAGCGTCTGGTGTTCAACTGTCCCGCAGCAGCAGACCCCCTATAAGAGAGCAGCAAAGAGGAGCGGCGGCGACCAAGGGCAACCAGCGATCCTCGTCCGACATCAACAGTTTCCTTTGCAATTACCGGAGCAAGCTCAGCAGATTCACGTGCTTCTTCTTGGTCCTTCCATTGTTGATGTGCCGTCTTTTGGTGTACAAATGTGTCCTGATGGCTCAACTGAAGTTGGACTCGTGTTGAAGGACCAGGTTTCCAAGTTTCGTGCCTCGACCAGATCTTTGAGAGGAGCCTTTGGTGACTGACTCAGTTGGCCACGCTTGTTTGGCGTGTTTGGCCTCTTGACCTGATCCTGCGCACTTCCGGAGTCCAGTGCCCCAGCCTTGGAGCATGATGACTTTCCTGTCGATCCAGGATCTGGTACTGCTCAAGGATTGGCAAGGCGAGAATGGACACCTGAGTCAACGCCGAACCAGCAGGCTTGAGAATCAGGTCTTTCGCCGTACAGACTGCAACCATCATCAGACTCAGCAAATGCACAATCTGCTGCACCAACATGGTCAATCCTCGTTCATGACACTTGTGCTGTTGAATGAGGTGCACCTGTAAGCCATGACCCACTCCCACAAAAGAACACAGAAAGCAGCGTCGGTTGAACAGATGGATGAGGAGTCTGTTGAAATCCCTGTGAATGAGCCAGCGTTGCACGTCTGCAGCCAATTGCACTAAGAGCACTCCAGGGAAGAGGTCTTACATTGGTGACAAGGTGCCGTGTAGCGTTGTGTTTTGTTCTAACACCTGGTCTAACCAGACCACCTGTGTCCTTTGGTTTTTTCCTTTCCAAAAGCACCGGTAGAGTTTTGTTAGAACTTGCGATGTTTCGAACGCCAGGCTTTAAGCTTTGGAACCGACATGAGCGCGCTCACGACATGTTCGCCGTCAGGACCTGGTGGAGAAAGGCGCTGAAGCCAAGCTGCTGCGCGTGAATCCTGAGACTTGGGCGGTCGACCACGGCGGCCGGCCACGACCAGTTTGTCTTCCACTAAGCTGTCCTGCAGGGAGAGTCGGCCTTTCTGTAAAACTAGATGAACGCCCAGTGGTTGGGGCCTGCCCAAACTTGTGGTTGGGGCCTGCAGTATGTGGCAGCGGCCACGCAGCAAGATACCCTGCCCATGGTCACTTGACCATTTCAACGGGACATACACGTATGTATTCTGTCCAGCTACTTTTGGGAAGGCGCAACGCCAAAAGTAGAAGAGAACACCAAAAAGTGAACTAGTTTTTGTTTGGATCGACATAGATGTGCTATCGAATCTTAAAGGCAGGAAACACACAGCCAGCAAGGCTCCAATTTGTAACATTAGTTGGCAACATGAGATTTGTGGTCCGTTTCAATCCCGTCGACGGTTTTCAGATTGGCTCAAAAACCCCTAACAATTCACATGTCTATCACTGTCTATCCCTGTATTCATTTGACCCTATATTTTGATGATCCTCGCATGATGATCATGGCATTTGTGCCGAACCCCCGACTCAACTCTAAAAACTTGTGGGTGCAGGTCACCTAGAGCGGTGACTGACAAGTTGTTGAAAACAAAAACCAACAAATGAACGCTAGGGGTTCAGCAAGGACGCTACTAGGGGCTCCTGGCCTTACTACTATGAGCAAGGACGCTACTAGGAGCTCCTGGCCGTGCTACTAGGAGCAAGG